TACTGTAAATTCAAAGATTACTCTCATATATTAAGGCATTGTGTATAAAGATGTGTGTTAAGATATTCACTTGTTCATGCATTCATGTATAAGTCCATATATTCACACCTTTAATGAGCTATATGAGTACCTACTGTAGAACACTGGCCAGTTTAAAAAAATTGACTGGGCAAGATTTTTTACTTAAGGTAGTTACAATTTGAGGGGGGAAACTACAAACCACCAAGTTCTCTAGGAGATCCAGACATACCCTTTTAGGAAGTCAGATACCGAAAATATGACTTGTGACTAGGTTTAATCAAAAAAGTTTCACAGAGGAGGTGGAGAAAGGGCTGACTCTTGCAGTTTGTCATTGGATATAGAGGGGAACTGTAGTCCTGGGGGAATCAACCACCTAAGCAAAGGCACTGGGGTAGGGTAGTGCCCCTTGAAGGGGTGATATGGCTGAAGGGCGGGGATAGAAGAACAGAAGTTGGGACATTGAGTAGAAAGGAGATGGGTGTTAGGGCATAGAGTGCCAGATTAAGAGCTTCAGCTTTGTTTTGGAGACACGAGCAGCTTTGAAGGTTTTATAGCTGGACAAAGGCATGGTGGGATTTGTACTTCAAGCTTACAGTGCTTCTCAAACCACGGTGTACACCCACATGCCCTGGGATCTTATTAAAACACAGATTCTGAACCTATAGATGTGGGTGAGGCCTGAGACCCTGCAAGTCCAGCAAGCTGCAAAGTTATGCTGCTGCTGCTGGTGCTGCTGGCCCCAGACCCCACTTTGAGCAGTGAAGCTTTAGGGAAGGCCTGTGGAGGTGGCTGGAAGCAAAGGAACCTGTGAGGATCTAACATGCATTGTTAGCCTGGCTGACCAGATGCAAATAGGCATTTTTTAAAAAACCAAGGCTTGTTTCATTCACTTATAAATCATGTATTCATTAAGACACAACAACATGTATTCATCAAGACATTAAGACAGGGCCCCGTTTCCAGGTACAACCCTTATGTAGAGAGTAATGTAGAGCTGCCTATGACTAAATACAGACTTTAGAAAGTATAAAGTGGATTTGGTTGGAAATCTGTAGCTGAGATTTATCTGTTGTCATAAAAAAAAATGAAATGACTTCTTTTCAATATGAAAAGCAAAACTGTGTCAGTAGGATTAGAGCTGTGGAGTTTGAGGTCAGCAGCCAGGACCTGCCTTGCTCAGTTGAAACCCACAGACTCCACCCCAGCGAAAGCAGAATGCTGTTCCCCAGGGCTCTGTCCTTCATCCTGCTAGTTTCATTTCAGTCCCACGGGCCATCTCATTTCACGATTTCATTTCTGTCGGAGTTTCTCAGAATTTTTTTTTTTAACCAGGGCTCAGCCATTTAAAAATTTTTTAAACTGTTTAATTGACACATAAACATTTTATATATTTATAGAATATAGTGTGACATTTCGATAAATGTAGAAAGATCAAGTTAGGGTAATTGGTATCTGGGACCTGAAATGTTTATTGTGTATGTGTGTGTTGGGAACATTCAAAATCCTCCCTGCAAGCTGCTTTGCAGTCTGCACATAAATGTTATCAACTATGTGGCCATTTTTAAGTTTCTTTTCTTTCTTTCTTTTTTTTTTTTTTCAGTACCAGGAATCGAACTTGGGACCTTGGGCTTGCGAGTCAGGCAGCAGAACCACTGAGCTAAATCCCCAGCCTTGGCTTTAAGTTTCTTAAAACTTGAAACACTTATTATGTAAATAAATGCTTTAAAAGGCATCTAGTTATTTAGTTAAATGTTTAAAAGCACATACTAGTCATATTCAGAAATACCTTTATGCATTGTATTAAAATTAAAATGGGTCACAGACATAATGATTGTATTGTAGAAGTTTTAAGCTGCATTTGAACACAATCAGGTAGAATTTTGCAGGCTGCACATCTTACTGTATGAGACTAGTAATACAAGCATGCAAAAAAAAGTGCTGCAAAAAAGTGAAATTGAATTTAAAGCTTTCCTCTACCCTTGCTTCCTACCCTGGTCCTCAGACTGTTCCCTGGGCCAACCTACATTTTTAGCCAACAGGTTGAGTATCCCTAATCTGAATTCTGAAATGCTCCAGAATCAGAAACTTTTTGGGTATCACAGGATACTACAGGTGGAAAATTCCGCACCTGGCCTTAGGTGACAGGTTGCAGTGAAAACACAGGTTAAAAATATAGTTTACTTCCAATATAGTTTACTTCCAATATTGTTGTGTATAAGGTACATATGAAACATAAGTGAATTTCATGTTTAGACTTTGGTCCCACCCCAAGAGATCTCATTATAGTGTGTGTATGCAAATATTCCAAAATCCAAAGAAGTCTGAAATCTGAGACACATCTGGTCCCAACATTTCCAATCGAGGATCTTCAACCTGTGCCTCTGGAAAGAATTTTACCACTCAGCAAATGTACTTCCAAGCATAATCCCCTGTTGGCAGCCCGTCAGATCCCTTCCAGGTTTCTACTATTAAAAGCAAGGTTGGAGTGAGTGTACAGAAACATGTGTTTTGAAATATATGGGGTGATAGCCGTAGATAGATTCCTAATAATAGAATCACTATGTCCGAGGATAAATGCTTTTAAGTTGTAGTAGATATTATCCAAATGGCCTATAAAACAATTTTACTACCTTCTGTTGTCTTACTTTATAGGATTGTACCTGTTTCCCTGTATCCTTAGCAATGCTGAGCTTTGTAAAACCTTTGAAATTGTGCCAATTTGATAGATGAAAAATTAAATCCTTTTGTAACTTTAATTGCTTTAATTATGAGTGATGTTATGAATTGTTTAATATTTAAAATGTTTAATATTTAAAATGTTTAATATCCATTTATTTTTCTGTGAATTGCCTGTCTTCATTCAATATTTGTTGAAAACTGGGCAATCAAATGAACAAATTCTACACACAATAGCACAGATAAATCTTACAAGCCTCATGTAGACAGCAAAAGGAGCCAGACACAAGCAAGCATGCCCAGTAAGGTTCCTGTATATAAAATTAAAGACCAGGTGAAACTCCTTCTGGTGTTCTAAGTAGGACTGTGGTTACCCTTGGTAGAGAAGTGACTAGGATGAGAGTCTGGCACACCAGACTGGGAAGTGTTTATAGGGAATTGGTGATTTTTTTTTCCATCCTGGTTGCTGGTTACATGAGTGTGTTCGCTTTGTGAAAATTCATTGTGCTTACTACACTTTGGATCTTAAATGTCTGCCAAAGGCCCTTTGAGGGAGACGTGGTCCTCAGGGAGGTACCACTGGGAGGTGGTGAGACCTTCATAAGGTGGAGCCTCGAGGGAGGTCTTTAGGTCGTTGGAGATGTGGGATTGAAAGGGATGGTGACATCAGCCTCTTCTTCACTCTGTCTTTCGCATCCTGGTCATGAGGCCAGCTGCCCCTCACATTCCCACCTTACATTCCCATGATGTGCTGCCCAGTCCGCAGCAATGGAGTCAACTGGTCACGGGCTGGGACTTCTAAACTTGAGCTGAAAGAAGCCTTCCTCTTTATAAGTTAGTCATTGTGGTGTCTCTTAGCAATGAAAGCTAACAAGCACAGAGTATTAAGATTTGTCCACATCTCTCCACAGATCTTATACTTCCATTAAAAAAGAAGAGTTAGGTGTAATGTTAAGCTATTCTTGAATGCTTAGAATGTGTTAGCATGTGGACAAGTCCAGTGTGATTCTTTTTCTCGTGGATTTAAGTTCTAGAATAAGAACTTGGTACATTGCCCAGCACAGAAGAGCACCCAGGAAATGTCAGCTGGGAGTGGTACATGCAGAGACTTGAAGGGCATGCCATGTGGCTGGGAGGACATGAGTATGTGACCAAACTGGGAAATGAGTCTGCAGAGGAAAGCAGGGGCAGATCAGAAGGGCCTTGCAGAAGATCCATGGGAAAGGAATCACAGTTGATCCTGAGTCAGCAAGGCTTTGATAAAAGGGTATAAGCAGGAAAACAGTCCTGGTTCGAACAAGCTCAGCTTCCTTCCTAAGCCTCCTGCAGCTCTGCAGCTCCCCACCACCCGGCTTGCACCCTGCACATGCACCTGCCTTCATCTGATAGCAAGCCCCCGACCACAGTGGGCGTCTCCTGCGGGTCCATCCAGGAGTACCAGGAAGTGCTCCCAGGGCCCTTGCTCCCTTGACCAGGACCTGTGTACAGGCTAGAACTGGCCCGCCTGTGGTTTGTCTGTGCTGTTTGCTTCATCACTGTTTGGCTTCTGGGAAACACAGAGCCTGGCATTGAGTGGACAACAGCCAAATAGTAAGAGCTGGCTCTACCCACCTGCCCCCAGTCTGGCTGGGCCTCTGTTGCTCATCAGATCTGGAAGGGACACCAGGGAGTCCTGCCCCTCACTTTGGGCCTGAGAACAGAGGCTACATGGGCTGTTCCGACCACAAAGCGAGTGAGCAGGGAAATGGGGAGACGATGCTGACCCACAGGACTCCTCCTGGTCTCCAGTCTCTAGTTGTAGCTCTAGAATTTCTATTATATAGATGAGTTTAGGAACAGGGATTTAGTGTGGAGGGGGGAAGCTGCTTCTACAAATAATCTTTTATTTGAAAGTCAGGAAACATCAGGGGCCTCATCAAAGAATGAGGTGCTGATGGAGAATGGGGGTGGCACTAAATTCCTCCCCAACTATCCTGCTTCCCTCCTTGAAGGCAGCTGGAAACTGTTCATTGCTAAAGAGCCTCAAATCTTCCCGGAGCTACCTAGACAAAACTTTTGTCCTCTATTTGAATATTTAATAGGACAAGGAGCCCCTCTTAGAGAGGCAGCCAGAGCCACCCAGGCCCCTCAGAGGATGGTTATGAACCCAGGCAGGTGTAGCCCCTGGGCTCCAGTGCCCAGCATGGAGCAGGTCCCTACCACAGGGCCACAGGAGTGATCTCTCTCGAGGATAGGTTGGCAGAGAGGCAGGGCAAGGGCTGAATGCTGCCAGAGGTTTGACACTGTCTTTGCTCTGCTTTCAGGGGAGCATCAGCAGCAGGAAGGAGATGAAAGTTGTGTTGCCGCCGAGGCGTTGACAGCGCCTGAGGATGCTGGGAGGCCTACTGTTAGCTCCCCAGCAAACCTGAGCCACGGGAGCCAGCGCAAGCATTTTCATCCTTCATTACCCTGGCTACCTTCTGAGGAGGAAGAAGTAAACAGGCTCGGAAGGGAAATAATTAAATTGACAACGGAGCAGGCGGCAGCAGAACTGGAAGGGGTCAGGAGAGAGTGTCCCCTGGAGGGACGGGGGAGCCTGTCCCCCTTGGGCCTGGCCTCCAAGGGGAGCTCCCCCAGATCCCTCCTGGACAGCTTGGAGCTGGCCCAGCCAGCAGCTGAAGCGACTGTACTGGAAGATGGGAAAGGGATCTCAGAAGGTGGGGACACAAGCGTGCAAACATGAAGAGGAACAGAGTCCAATACGGTGACATTTTGCAGGCACCAGGGATGGCAAGAAAAGAATGAGGCGTCAGAATGTCTGCACAGGTCGCTTTCTCCTAAAACACCTCAGCCTTTGTGAGTGAGGAATGGCTCGGGTCCTTTTGCAAACTGTGACCATCCCGACGATGCCTGGGGGGTGTGATTTATTAAACGCGGGTCCTCAAGCTTCTCTGGTGTCATCTCTTTCTGCTGAGGATGTGCTGCTGTGAACAGGGCCAGGCTGCCATATGGCTGGTCTTCGGTGTCTGTCTTTGTGTCAGCATTTGTTTAATTAGAGATAAGATGTTTTTCTATTAGCATTTAATGTTGTTGATCAAAATTATGTGAAGAGCTGGAAATGGATGGAGTTTTGAGTCTGGTCTGGTAATGGGGAGGTGGCTGGACAGAAAGGTGTAACGGGGCGTAGTGTGCCTGGCAGGCCGTGGACCTCCCACGGGTGTTCTTGGCATCCTGCCACCAGCACTGTCTGTCAAGGAGCTGGCTGGTGGGTCGGAAGGGACTTGAGTGGCTGAGAAACTTGGGCTTCTGGTCGGAAAGCTATAGCCCCTGTTGAGGGCTGTTTGATACTGCTGGAGCTGAGTCTTCTAGCCTGTAAATCTGGGGGATTAATTGATGGGAAGTGGCAGAAGAGGAGGGTCTGGAACGACAAGGGGACTCCCTGTGGAGGTCCAATTCTTTGCTTCTGAGAAGAGATGAGAGCTAGAAGTAGAAATACTTGTTTGCTTTATTCAACCTGTGCTATCTGTAGGATTTTGAGGCCATTTGGGTTTGGGAAAGAGCAGGTTGTGGCGTTGGGTCAGTCTACTGTCCTACACCACCCAAACCTTGAACTCTTTCTCCTTCCACAGAATGTGCAGGCTATGTCCTCAGTGCCACTAGTACTGGGATTTGAAAGACCAGACACAGAGCTCATGGCCCTGGAGGGGAAAGAGAGAGGAAAACAAAAAGACCACATCCAGCTCAGTGTGAGGAGGGGACCGAGGGACCCAGGGCAAGGTCCAAGGGGAAGAAAGGAGGGACTGGCCATCGCTACCTGGTTCTTCTAGGGATGAGATTTAGCAGTTCCACGCAGCATCTGGGGCTGCAGGAAACTGCAGTGCCATCGAGCTGTGGACTTGCTAGGAGCTGGACCTAGTTCATTTCTCCCAGAGAGCCTGATACCAGATCCCACCGCTCAGAACACCTCGGAGAACCAGCGTCTCATCACAGACACCTTCCTGGTGAAAAAGAAAGGCTCCCAGGGCAGCAGAGGTTAGAAATTCACCCTAAAACCTGATGTGACAGGTGTCCTAGGTGTCACCTGCTTGTGGGAGGCCAGCCCACACCGACACTTCCCTGCCAGGTCACATCTCTGGTGACACTGCTGGCAGACATCACAGTGCCTGCTCAGGTGCACACTGTGGGGCCTCTGGCTGCTTTCTCCCAGCTCCCCAGAGGCCGCCTGCCTGGCAGAACAGGAGCGTGGTGGAGCTGGTGCCCTGCCGCTTTGGGGTGCAGGGACACACATGTGATCCCAGGACTCCACTCATCCTCCTCCATTCCACTGCACTCCCATCAAGTCCCCTCCTGGTGAGTCACTTCTGCAGCTGCAGTGCTCACCCAGTCCAGCACTCACAGAAGTAGCCACCCTGCTGGACTGGCCCTTGGCTGGCTGCAGTTGCTCAACGCTACTGCACAGAGCAACCAAAGGAAACAGCCAGACAATGCAGGAATTACACAAAGAAAAACTCTCACCCTACACAAGCTCTGGTTTGCCACACAGTCAGCCAGACGCACCTCTGCAGGGCCTGTCAATCACTTTCTGGAAAGTGGGCCTTGTAATAAAGCCTGACATGGCCTGTCGGGGCCAGGGAAACTGAGTCCCAGAGACGCTGGGGTTTGGGAAGCTGGGGCCAGAGGAGCTGCAGTTTTAACTGTGTGTGCCATCAGTCTGGATGGCTCTATGAGATGCAATGGGAGACAGATTTGATCTTGTCACATAGGTTACCATGGTGACACCGTTCACACGTGTGACACTGTCGTACCTCTGCCATCCCCACCGCGTGTGTTTCATTCCATAGCCATTAAAGGGAGATTTGGCAGTTACTCATGGTCGTCCTTTGTCTTTTTAAAGGTTGTTGTGAACATGTGTAGCAATCTTCCCCCACTCCACCAGACAGCCCTGCACCAGCCACAGTACTCAGCAACAGGTCACACCTGCAGACACTTAAACAATAGGGAAGTAGATTCTACTGCATCACGAGAGCTTCGGAAGTAGAGCATCCTAAGACTGTTTCCTTCAAGAAAGACACTGATGATCTGAGTCTCAACTTTCCATCTCTGCTTGCCTCCATGTCAGCTACTTCTTCATGGTAACAAGATGGCTACAATGGCTCCAGGCATCGCTCATTCTCACATATATCCAAAGGCAGAAGGAATTTTCTCCCCACATGTGTATGTGTATGTTTCAATAGCGAGAAGCCCAGTTCCTGCCACCTTTCATTGCTCAGAATTGTCATATACCTGTGTCTAAAGCCAGTCTTCGACAAGAAGATGGTATGACGATGGGTTTAGGTGCATCAGGATTTACCCTCTGAATTGGGGAGGGGACTTGTCCTAGACACGTAACTACCAAAACAAAATCATGTCTTAGAGGTTTGGATTTAAGGAGACCTGAGTGGCATTGCCTCTGGGCCCCACACCTTCTCTTTGTCCCTGCGTTAAAAGCCAGAATATTAGGCTTGTTGAGGAAACCACATCTTCCCTCTCCCCTGGCTGCTCTGTGGTCGCCCTGAGTTGCAGAGGATTTGTCCCTACCTCTGCAGGCCTGCTGGTCCTCCTGAGACCCCAGCAGACTTTGGAGTGTGGATAAATGCCTCAGGATGGACATCTCCTAATGAACACTTGCTGGTGCGCTCTGCTCCCTGTGGCTGCTCTGCACCTGCCAGCTAAGCCACTAGGTGTGGAGTTTTACAGAGGCACATTTGTCTTTCTTTTGATTAAGGCCCAAGGAAAGGATCGGTGTTTGTAAAGCAGGCATTTCTCATCCCTGGCTCCTTCCCTTCCCGTGCCTCTCCTGCCCCCTTCCTTCCCCGTCTCTCTGCTTTCATGTCTACCACCACCCAAGCCTCACGGCCTAGGAGGCCCTGACCCGGTGCTGTTCTGCTCAGTTCACCCCACAGCCTCCTGTCTGTTGGCAACCGTAATAAACTGAATTCGTCTAGATTCCTCATTGTTGCTTTGCTCCCAAGCATACACCCCTGCCTCTACTCGAAGTTCTAGAAATGGGCTCTGCCATCAGCGGTTTAGATGTTGGAGAGTTTTGTGATGTGTTCCTCCCACTGGGAACGTGTGCACCAGTCAACTACAGAGCATGAGAGGTTTGGTTTCTAAGGAATTCCAAAGACCAGCTATTCGCCCATTGAGCTTTTCTCCCCCATCTTTCCGGCAACCCCATGGCTTTGCCCTTTGGGTTTTCTGTGCCTCTGAAAAGCAGGTGCTCTCCCGGTTTCCTGGCCTTCCCGGCGCCCTGTGAGTGTCTGGTGCCCCACTTCTCTTTGGAAAAGGCCTCGTTTGGAGGACCTTCTCCCTCTATTTCATTCCAGAAGTCTCCATTTGGGATAATTTTTCTTGATAAAAACCAACGGTACCCCAGTTAGGGTGTCAAAAACTCCAAGCACTGCCCCCAGCCCACAGTTTTAATGCATTCCTTTCTCCCCAGATGGCTTTCTGAATGGAGAAAACTGCAGAGAGAGATGCAGCTAGGAACTCGGTAGTGAATCTAATTAGAAAGAGAAGCAGAGAAAAACAAGGACTCCTCTCTCGATACTATTGTTGTGCACAGAAACAAAGCCAAACGAGTCCATCCAGCATGAAGGCAATTTAAATTGAGAGATACAGATGTGCTGCTTTCTGTTCCTTATCACCTTTTTGCTAAATGAGTCTTTTTCTTCTGGATACATAGGGGGAGTCTGCATAGCACTGGGAAGTTTGACTTTGGAGAATCTATCTATGTGAGCTCAGGAGCACATTGTGGGATCTTAGCTGAGGCCAATGAGTCTATTAAATGTAAAACAGTTGACTTTAAAAACCAGCTGCTATTTTGTAGTTTTATGTAAAAAAAGAAGTAGCTTCTCTTCCTTTGCAGGCCTTGATGTATTAGGTTCTATGATCACCTTGTAGCACGACTATATCTTGTTCTTACTTGAAATAAAAATGTGATGATTTTCCTGATATAGGTGATTAATTATCTGTATTATTTGTGTCATTCTCAGCACTGAGCTTACAGCATATTGTAGAGACTTGTCAGTTGCACTCTGTCACCTAAAATTATTTGATCATATAGTAGCCATGAAAAATACAGTGAATGTAAAGATTTTATGCATTCAGTCAAAAAAGGCAGATCTAAAATCAGTTGGTTTATTTCCTGCAGTCTTTCAAGTTGACCAAAGTGCTCACTGATTTGCTCTATTTTCTTACGTTTTTAGTATTTCTGTGTATATGCACTAAAAAGCCCCAGTTGGAAAAAAAATTCACTGCAATTCTGAGAAAAAGCTTATCCTAAATATCTAAAGATAGCATTTCTAATTATTGTCTACATTGTGTTTAAACTATGCAAACTTGAGCATTATTCTCACTATACCAGCTGTGTCTAGGTAGAGTCATTACATCAAACGCTTCTAATTTTACAAAAAGAAATCAAAACAAGTATGTGTTTAGGTCCCAGTGACAAATGCAAACCCTGTGACTCAAATGGGCAAACTGATTAGCAAGCTGGCTGGAAAGTCAAAACAGCAAATATAAGGAGATTAACAAAATAGATCTGTAAGATGAGAACAGCAAAAATAGACTCCAGGGGCCAAGTCGGGTCCAATGGGTGGGCTTGGTGACACACATAAGATTCTTTGCCAAGACCCAGATGTCTGCCTTCTGGCTCACAATCTTCTTCCTTTTAGGCCCCTCCCACCAAGAGCTATGATGGTGGAGCCCACCTCAGCTGCCTCTCCGGGCTTGCAGGAATTCTTCTTAGAAACCTCAGAGGTTTCCTTCACTTGGCTCCTTCTCATTGTGCGGCATTTGCTTCCTCACATAGTAGCCCAGTCTCTTGGTAGACTTGGTATTTTCCTGACTGTAGCCACTGTTATTAACTAGATCCTTATTAGTGTCATGTTATGCACTTCTCATGAATAACACTTGTATTCATCTTATACAATCATATACAATCCAGTATATGATCTTATTTTACAGGAAAGAAAACCTAGCCTCAGAGAAGTTAAGTGAGTTGTTTAGATCACACAGCATGGAAATGTAGCATTCAGGGTTCAAACAGGGCTTCTGACCACGAGGCCATGAAGTATAATCAAAATATACAATGAATGTTTATATTTTTAAGAATTACAGGGCCAGGGATTTAGCTCAGTGGTTCTGCCGCCTGCCTCGAAAGTGTAAGGACCTGAGTTCGATCCTGGTACCAAAAAAAAAAGAATCACAGTAAGAGACACATTGCCATTAATCTCCCTCTGGATCCTCCCCCTCACTTCAAACACACTCATCCCACTGTTCTTGCCACTTTCTGAAGCAGTTCCGGCAGTCCTATTTCTTGAGGGTCTTCAGTGCTACTGGCCTGGCTGCCTCCATGTCCTGAACTGATTCAAAACGTTTACCTTTCATGGTCATTTTGACTTTGGGAAAGAGCCAGAATTTGCATGGTACCAGATCTAGTGAATAAAGTGGATGAAGACACATTGTACGGTTTTTATTGCCATACTAGATGTGATGTGTGGTGTAGAGTATTGTCACGATGGAGAATGAAACCTTTTGGCCATTTCTGAGGCCATTTTCTAGGCACATCACTTCTGTCAAATAAAAACACGACGGTGCGTCCTCATCGACCTTATTCACTGGATCTGGCACTGTGCAACTTTTGGCTCTTCCCCACAGCCAAAATGACTATGCAAGGTAAACATTTCGAATCAGTTCAGGACACGGAGATAGCCACGGCACTACCACTAAAGACAAGAAAGAGGACTTCCAGAACAAGTGGCGAGAAGGATGAGATCAGTGTGTTCACAGCGAGGGGAAGCTTTCTGAGGGCCATTAACAGCAATGTATCTTTTACTGTAACGATCTTTCTTAAGCATTCATCACAGTTTTCGATCAAGCCCACTACATGCATCCCTTTGTCCTTACAGTGAACTACAATTGTGCTCTTGTGCTGTTATTTCCTCCTCCTTTCTTATCCCCGGGTCCCACAGGATAGTTTGCCGATCCCGTTCCCATGAACAGGCAGAACAGCAATGGAATGGGTCTGCATGGGTGTCTCCTCCGCTTTGTCCAGGGTCAAGGGTGGAGAAGAGGGAAACTAAGAGCAGAAGAAGGGATGAGCAGCACCAGCCCCTGTGGAAAAACAATCTGTGCCCCCTTATTGTCCTGGATTAACCCTAATCTGGAGAGCATCTGATTCCTCTCCACCATGTGTTCTTGGGGAACTGCAGCCTCGTTTTCTGGTAGAGACAGGCAAACACGTCCATTTAAGATCAAGATATTCAGAGGCTCTGTTCGCTGATTCCCTTTAGTGCCGAGTTGAGTTTCCAGTGAATATTTCACACCAGTAAGGACCAGTTGGCAGAGCAAAGGCAACAGCCTTTTTCTCCAGTTGTCACTTGAGTTCAAGAAAAGATTTTAAAATAACAAGTTAGTCCTAGTTCGAGGTAAAAATAACCACTGGGGATGGGTTTCTGGCTGTGGTTCAGTTTGACTCACAGCCTGATGAGCCCAGGAGAAATGGAAGTTGGGGGGGGGGCATTGCAGCTGGGAAGGCAGCTACTCCAGGTGCTTCAGTTTGGTGGATGAAGATGTCCACGCAAGACTTTCTAGTCTATGTGCAGACGATAATTTTCATAAGGGGAGCTGGAACCCCCACCAACGCCCAGCCAAACTCAGCCTGCCCGGCTTCCACTTGCCTTTGCTGCTTCTTCTCCTGGAGCATGCTGACAGGTCCAGCTGCCAACACTCACCCACGGTGACCTGCCTGGGCACGTGGCTTCACTGGTGCCGTCTTAAGCCTGGGAAACAATGGACCCCTGGCTGAACACACTCCAGGCAGACATGAGCCCCCGCAGGCCCACGTGAGTCCCATCTGGCCTCATTCCATCCCAGGCCAGGGGCTCCACTGGTAGAATCACTAACCCCAACGCTTCCTGCAAATGGGCTTTCCTCCCCCTGCTTTGGTTTCCACAGCTCTGGGACATGTATAATATCATATATATGGAACACATCCACATGCACACATACACACACACATACACCTGCACGCACACACACCAACACGGGCTGCTTTGCCTGATCTGATTCTGGTGATTCCCATCATGGGAATCCTTTGGAAAGGGCACAACAGTCAGTGACTGAACATTGTTCCAGCAGGGTTGGAGGAGGGAATAAGTCCTGCAAAGGTTTGGGAGATATCTTTTTGCCATCTCCAAAAAGAAAAAAAAGGAGGGAGGGAGGGAGGAAGGAAGTTGGTTGGAAGGGAAGACTCAAATAAAAAAAGGAACCAAGGGAGGCCTGGGTGCTGGACTGAATTACTGCGTTTTTACTGTGCAACAGAGATTGCCAAAGATCCTAAGGTGCAGGTCTCCTAGGGTGGTGGTGTTGGGGAAGCAGCAGAAGACTGAGGGTAGGGGTGGGGGTAACTCCGGGCCGCACCACCAGACTGGTGATGAGCAGGAAAGGGTCGCTAGGCAACTGGGGTGGAGTCTCCCAGGGCCAAGGAGGAGCCCACAGGGAGGTCTTCATTCCTCAGAGCAGAGAGGGCTCTCAGGGGTCATTAGTGGGGGCGGTGTGGACTACGGTACAGGAGGGAGAGGGACCTCAGTCGGAGGCACCCAGGTGGATGTGTATTTCGGCACATCTGGGCAGGGTCCTGAGAGTTACTGGGGGGGGGGGGCTTGGAGCTCGTGGGTGGCCCTCAGGGTGGGGGAGGGAGGCATCTTGGTCCACGAGGAGAAAGGTGTGTCTGGGTACAAAGGGAGAGGCGCTCGAAGACTGAGAGGACCTAGGGGCAGACAGAGTTTTCTCTGCACACACAGGCTGTCGGGGTCCATGGTGGGAGTGTCTCTAGTACGGAGAGTATCTCCAGTGTGGACGCTCTGCGGGTTCATGAGGGTGTCCGGGTGGGGAGGACCCTTGGGGTACACTGGGGTGTTCTGGGCACGGAGGGGTCTCCGGGTACGCGGGGGTCTCGGGTGCACATGGTTGTCTAGGCAGGGAGGACACTCTGGTGGGCAGGAGTGTCCTAGTGGGGGTCTTGGGGCACAGGGGAGTGTACGGGGGTGTCTCCGCTCCGAGGGTCTCCGAGTGCGCGGGAGGGGGTGTCCTGGAAGGGAGGGCTTTGGGGGCACACGAATGTGACTGGGTTGGAGGCCTCTGGGGGTGCAGGAGAGCGTGTTGGGGTGTCCTGGGAGGGGCCCGTGGGGTGTGTTGTGTCTCACGTGGTTGTCCTGGCAGGGAGGACTCTCGGGGCTCAAAGGGGTCTCCGGGTGCCCAGGTGTTTGGCGAGGGTAGGGCGCTGGGGAGCCGGGGTGCGTGGGGTGTCCTGGGCAGGGCGGGCGGTGGGCTCCTGATGCGCGCTGGAGCCCGCAGGCCTATGCTGTCTTGCGCCCGCTGTCGCGCCGCCTCTTCTTGCGCTCCGCGTGCTCCCGCGCCTGACGCGCCCAGGCCTCGGGGCCCCCCGCGCCCACCACGCAGCAGGCGAGCCTGGGCCCCGCGTTGCCGTTCTCCACGCTGGCCGGGGTGTCGCCGCGGCCGAGGTCGTCCTCGCCGGCGTGGACCACCACGGCGCGGCCCACGATGGAGTGAGGGCCGGCCAGCGAGGCGGGGAGGCCGGCCTGGTACTTCCAGAGGCGGCCGTCGCGCACGACGAAGTTGCCGAAGTCGCCAGGGTGCTGCGGGTGCGGCACGGACAGCGGGTTGTAGTGGGGCCCGGTGGAGTCGCAGCCCTGGCTCAGGTCGCCGAACCGGTGCACGTGGATGGCGCGTTTGGAGCTGTTGGCCTCCTCGGGGAAGCCCTCCAGGTCGAAGAAGGCTTCGAGCCTGGCCCCGGGCCCGGGCTGCCGGAAGAGGACCAGGCCGCTCACGCGGGGCTGCTCGGCGTCCAGAGTGGCGGATGGCTGCATGTGGCACACTGCGTGGAGCCCCACGTCTGGCCCGCCGGCGGCCTCCCGCCACTGCGTCAGCTCCTGCCAGATGTCTGTCACCTTGGTGTGCATGTCGTGGATCTGCTCCATCAGCTCGGGGCTGGGCTTCGCCAGGTCCGTGACGCTCAGGGTGTGCACGGCTGGGGCTGCCAGAAGCAGGCAGCCACACAGCAAAGCCAGCATGGCCGGGGTCTGCACCTAAGGGGAGCCCGGCAGGGACGGGCAGAGTATGCTCGGTCACTTGAAATAGTCTCAGAGGCCCTACCCCGGTCAGATCCACCTCATCCCACCTCCCAGGGCCCCCAAAGGCCTTCCTGGCCCAGCAGACATTCGTTTGGCAGATGTCTCTCTGGGGCCTGTTTTATCTCCAGGGGACTGGGCGAGGTGCAGGGCTTGTAAAAATGGTGAGACCCCCACCTGGAGAAGCTCACAGGGCTCTGGTGCTCTTGAGTCCTGCTCACCAGCGTGGAGGGAGAGTCAGGGCCACCCAGGTGTCTGGGGCCCTTCCAGGCTCAGCCTCCTAGTCTCCCTGCCTGACACATTGTTTCCACATCCTGCCAGTGACAGCCAGGAAACCTGCCTTAGGAGATACAAATTCAGGCCTAATCATAGGTACCCCTGGCACCTGGGCCCACACCAGGAAATAGACACATAACCTTGAGGGAGGTTGAGAGGGGTCACCTAAGGGAGTGGCAGGCAGGGCACCAAGCCATTCCAATGAAATCCTGTGATTGAAGTTGGAGCCTTGGTGCTGGGGTAAGAGAGAAAGTCGTGCTCATCCCCATGGGGGTCTCCAGAAAGGATTCCCAGAGGAGATGCCTTCTGAGTTGGGGTCTACCAGATGAATAGGAGTTTTCCAGCTAAGCAGGAAGGCCATTTCAGGCAGGAGGCATTTCAGGACATGCTTATGGGAATGAAAGGGCAGCTTTTGGGGGCTGGGGGAAGCTCACTGTGGTCAGAGCACAACCTCTGTGACTATAGACAATGGAGGCTCAGGAGGAAACTTTGAGCCAGGAACAGAGGGGCAGCTTTGCTGTGTTAAGGGTTGGAGCAGGTGTGTGTATGGTGGCCAGGGCTGGTGTGGGAGGAGGTGTCTGAGCAGAGAAGTGGGTAATGACAGCATTTAAAAGTTCAGCATTGGGTGCTAGGAGACAGGATTTTGAATGTCCTCACCACAAAGAAATGAGAAGTGAAGAGACAAATGTGCCCCTTCATATGTAGTGAACATGACACGGTATCAGAGGTATCAAACTGTCACTGGGCACCTATGAATATGCACAGTTATTATGTCAGTTAAAATTGCTCAAAAATGTTGAAAGTTCACTAAGTCTTAAGGAGGAAAGGACAAAGTCTGGGCCTTGTGGATGGAGAGGATGGGGAGGTTGATGGGACTCATCCGTCTAGGGACAGAGACACAGCAAAGCCAAGAGAGATCCTAAGGCAGGTGGAAATGTCTTGAGCTTTTCCAAAAGCAAGAGGGCTGAGGGCTGAGTGGCACCGGCAGGAAGGGAGAGCGAGCAGTGGAGGGTGGCTGAGGTTTCTAGCAGGGGACACCAGTGGGGGACAGATGGTGGCCCAGGCTGAGAGAAGATGCAAGCTGGCGCCTGCCGACAGTGCAGTGTTAGGGCGCAGATGATCAGAATCTTGGTCTGGGGAGGGGATCTCCCCGGGGAGGGAGATGAGCAGGCCGACTGTTGACTCCACATCAGAGTCTGGCTTTTAAAACCAGCTGCTTGGCCCCACCCAGGAGGTTCTAATTCAGTGGGGTGGTGGGCTTCTTTGTGTAAAGAGAAGCTCAAAGATTCTGGGGCCTGGCAAGGAGTTGTGGAGTCAGGTCCAGGTTTGAATCTCAATGACATCAGCCATGGTGCAGCCTCAGTTTCAGTGAAAGCCTGGTGTTCCAGGGCACCCCTCCTACTCTGTGGATTCCAAGGTCTGTGGGTGCTCAAGTGCATTATGTAAAGCACCAGAGTATTCACACATAACCTACACACATCTTCCCCTACACTTTAAAGCATCTCTAGGTTACTTGTTACATTTATGTAAATGCTGTGTATATAGTTGTGATGCTGTATTTTTTGGAGAATAATGAGAAAAAAGTCTGTACATGTTCAGTACAGACATAGTTTGTTTTTTCCCAAGTACAGTGCACCCTTAACTTATGAACTCAATTCATTCTCGAGGCCTGTTTGTAACTCAGTTTGGTCAACTGAAGGTTCAGGCTCCTCTACACGGCCTTCAAAGTCTCTCTCCTGTACACAGGCAGATCTCAGAGTCCTTAGACAGACATTGGCCCAGGATTTCTCATTTAACCCCACACAGGAAAGGATGTTGTAATATTCCTTCCAGAACTCTTTAAGGGTTAAATCTGTATCTGAGAACATCTGGAAGGATAAGCAGCCGGTATTTGGGTTGTAACTCAAGACTTTGTGCCTAAGTTAAAAACTAAAATTCCAGTCATAACCCAAGTTATTTGTATGTCAGGCCAGTCAAAACTTGAAGGTCCATGGGCCGGGGATTTTGCTCAGTGGTTCTGCGGCCTGCCTCGAAAGCGCAAGGTCCCGAGTTTGATCCCTGGTACCAAAAAACAAAAAAAATCCTTGAGGGTCCATTTTCCATCTGAGGTTGGTTAAATCCACAGATGCAGAATCCACAGGTCCAGAGGGCCAACTCTCCTATGAGCTCTAGGGCTGCTAACTTTCTAGCCTCAGGCTCCTTCCTTGTGAAATAAGGCCAGTCACACCACTGAGGAGCACGCTGAGGACTAAGTGATATATTTATAAGCCAGACAATTTTCCACATTTTAATACCTGTCCAGAGGGATTCATGATGCCTCTGAAAAACTAGTCTGAAGGTCGAATGCACTTTCAAGGGCCTTCACCAACTCCAAAGTAGGTGCGATTTACAAAAACAAATCCAGGATTGGGTCTGGCTTCTTTGCAGAACCATCATGGGAAGGCTATTTAGTATGGCAATTACAAGAATGGATTCTGGAACTCACTTCATGAATTGAAAGCCTGACTGTCCCTTAAGCTCTAAGAGTTAGCTGTCATTGTCATATTTTGTACAGAGCAGCAGAGTAAATGCCGGACTGCAAACTATCCATGGGCCTGCCTCCCCTCTGAGCCTGAGCTTTCTCATCTGGAGCTGGGGTAGTAACGTTCACCCTAGCAGTTTGCTGACAGGCTGAAAAGAGAGGCTTAGGATTGCTAAAATTCAGTCTGCTCTGAGCCTCCATGCCAGTTCAGGCCCCACATCACAAAGCACCCAGCTAGGGCCTCTGGCTCGGACCCAGGTGTGTGGAGTTCCTCAGCAGAGAAGCTGCTGATAGACACTGGGACCTCAGCCGAGAAAGCCACAGAAACCATAGAAGTGGCACATGCCCAGCCAACTCTCCAAGGAGTAGGAGAGAAAGTGACATCCAGGGGCCCAGCCTCTGACATGGGCTGGCCTACTACTAAAGCCTTGCCTCAGGAGCGGGCAGGGGACTTCCCCGGAGCTCTCCCAGTGGGGATCTCCTCCTGGGGCTTCACTGATGCCCAGCAGGGCTCTGCCCCGAAAAAATTTTCCTTCAAAGCAGACAGCAAAAATCAGGCTGTCTGGGGTGTCTGTGGGCTTTGTCTTTCAGGAAATACTAAGGAGCTGTTTTTAAGGGCATTCGAAGGAGCTGTTTTTCTGTTAAATCGAAAAAAGAAAGAAAATAAGAAAAAGAAAATGCTTCCTACACCCAGGTAAACTCTGGCTCCTACTTTTGTAGGTTTTTGCTCTCTGTCCTGGGGGCCCCTGTGAGGGGCCCAGCCTTCTGGGACAGCCCCCTGCCCGGTTTCGTGGTGAATGCACCAACTGTTTTCTTCAGAGTCTGTGCATGCTCTGAGGAGGATGATAAGGCTATCAGAGAGAAGCCGCAGAGGCCCTTGTCCTGAACCAAAGGAAGGCACCAAGCCTGTACCTCCCTCTTGGCTCAGTATCTGCAAGAATTTGAGCACTGAAAACTCCTCCTGAGCCTCGGGTGAGTTTTCAGCCCTCAACCCACTCCCAGAAGGAGCCCTTGGTGGGAGCTGGAGGTGGCTGGGCCAGGCCCTCGGCTTCATGCCTGTCCTAAGCATTGGCTGTCTAGGGTACCTGCTGTTCCTCAGTAGCTCTGACCCCGAAGCCAGGCAACCTCCAGTGTGGCAGCTCTGAGAAATCTGCGTCTCATGATTTCCTTTTCCTGATGCTCAAGTCCTCTTGGACTGGCATTTTCAGGGCTGGAAGGCCAAACAGCTTCTTCCTCCTACCTATTGCCTTCCTCCCCATAGCGTCACTCCCCCTCCAGAGCAGCCAGGCCTGTCCTTAAGTGTTTCTTGCCCCTGAACATGGCCGAGTCCATTCCCAAGATGAGGCCCCCTGCCCAACCTAGCTGGCAGCTGTTAAGAAGCATACACCGAGAAGAACAGAACGATCCTCATCTTGGCACCCACCTGGCCAGCCCTTCTTGGAGACCTTTCCTCCTGCTGAGTGGGAGCAGCACCAGTGGCGACTGCAGGAATTCAAGCCGCCTCTTGGGCTGGGTTGTTTGTGAGCTGAGGGGAGCCAGCCCCAGGGAGTGGTCAGCAGGAGGGAAGAAGGTCATTGGGCCCGTTCAGGGAGGAAAAGCCGGCCAGATGTCCCTTGTTGCAAAATCGTCCCACCTCCTCCTCCTCTGTCCCCACCGCCCTGTCCCTTCCCATCCTCGGCTCCCTTGCCAAGTCTTTCTCATGACGTCCCTCGCTTCTGCAGATGTAGCCTGTGACCTTTAGCACGCAGCAGGGAAATAAACACGAGAAAGAAAATAGTCTGGTTAGAGAGGTGTACAATGACTGCTTTATGAGTAGCCTTCTATTTTCCTCTGATTTCCTCAGCTGTTGGCTTATTTTTGCTGGATGCTGGTACGTATTTAAGACAAACACAGGCTCTTGGCAATTGTATGAGTGATGTTTTCTCCAGAACTTGGCGGCCCTATGAAGAGGTGAGCAGCACAGGTACAGTGCAGAGCTCTGGCTTTGTTGCCTCCTAGCTGTGTGCTCCTGACCCCTGACACCTTCCCTGTGCCTCCCTTGCAGCATCTGTCAAATGGGCATGTGACATTGGCCATCCTTCGAGATCACTGTGCGGATGAAACGAGACTGTCACACAAGGGGTGCAAACCTAAGTAATGACATTAGTATGTCATAAATAATGACAATAACAGTAATGCCACTGTCATTGTCACTGTTGTTTTTAAAATGACAGAGGAGCCTTTTAAAAGGGTACCTGGTCTGGGGCAACCAGCAGCGTTTCCCTTCACAAAGTCCTTTTCTCTGCTGCTGCCACCAACTCTTCTCAATCACAGCAGCTTTTCCAGAAATAGAAGGCTTTCTTTCCCAGAAAAGCCCACAAGGGAGGAGGCAGCTTGCTGCTGCCTGTCTGTCCTCCTGGGTCCCTTCAACAAATGGCCATTGGGTGCTCACCCCCTGCCAGGCTGTGCACTGGAGGAAAAAGGCTGTGACATGCTGTGCATTGGGGACCCAGAGCTGCAGAAGCCCTGGCCCCTGGGGGTGCACACTGTGAGAAAAGAGAGAACTGCAGCATGGATGGTGGGGAGTGCGGCTAGGGAAGGAGGGGCAGGGCCCCCTGGGATCCTCCACACCAGCCCTGGCAGCAGGAAAGCTTGTTGGATAATAGAGGCCTCTGCGCCCCACCTGGGCCAGATGAATTGATCACAATGGATGCTTCCTGAAATACTTAGTTTTAAAAGCCAGGGATCTTGATGAGCAACCAGGTTTGGGAGCCCATGGTTGGCAGAAAAATCTCAAATGAAAGATTTTCATCCAGAGGCAGCCATTCCAGAAGATAAGATGGAGAATTCCAGGACTCAGGACTTTCGGCCCTCTACCCTGCTTGGTCCTCAGGCTGAGGACTTGGACACATCAGTTCAGTCCTGCACTTCTGCATTCTGTAGGTGGGCGTGGCTGTCCTCCACAAATGAGCTTGCATTCTGTGGGTGGGCGTGGTTGTCCTCCACGAATGAGCTTCTGAGTTCCCGATGCCACCTACAAGCCCCCCCCATAGCCCTCTCATTGTGAATCATTCATCCAATTAAAAAAATATTTATTTTCATTCAGTTCTCAAAATAGCTCTATAAGATCATAGCTACTGTTTTGTTTAGAGTAATTGTATTCCTTTTAAGGTCCAAGAAAGCGCTACCCTTGCTCTGTTCTGGAATTTCCTTCTGAGAAGCCACTTTCAGTCTCAAAAGTGGTGTTGCCTTCACCCCTTGCTGCAAGTGGCTTGGGGATGATCTATTCAGGGACAATGAGATGCTGTGACATTTTTGCTTGGCTGTTAAAAGAGAAATAGCTTTTCTTTCCTACTGGACTTGAAACTAGAAGGAAAGACTGGAAGTACTGTGGCCACCATATTCCACTAAGGGAGAACCCTTTTGAGGATAAGGCCAACATAGAAGGAAGTAGAATAAAACTAGAGTGAAATCTGGACTAGGTGGCAGTGTTTGAGCCCCTGGATCTAGCCATACCTGAAGCTCTGTTTTCATTTTGTAAGTCAATATATTCTCAATTTGCTTAGATTGTTTGGATTGAGTTTTCTAAACTTGCGACTGAACATTTTACAAAGCACTTTCTCAGATGGTAGTTTATTTAATGCTTGCAATAAATTTGTAGAGTTGATACTAATCAGTTGACTTTATTAATAAAGAAGTTCAGGGAAAAAAATGGGCCAAAGTTGCAGACATGCAAAATGGCAAAGTTAAGATTTAAAACCTTGGACCCTGAATCTTAAGCCTGATCTCTTAATCATTACACTTTATTATTATTAACCTAAGGAGGAGATGAAAGAAAAGTTAGAAACAAGAAACTGTTAAGTGTAAATTTTGCAGTTATCTCTGTAATATCAATAACAGCCTTGTAAATAGACACTGAACTATTGACTTCTATGCTTTTCACATCTGATAATGAATAATACAGCAGAAAATCAAGTGGATGTTGTTAAGCAAGCACCAGGAGATGCATTCAAAAGCAGTCCTCCTGCCTAGCTAGGAGAGCTCTCTGCTCGAGAACTTTGTACCTTTCTGCAAGAACTTGAGTTGTAAATACTTTCCTTTCCACCATGTTTGCAGAAAATGGGTGGAATCAGTTTGTGGACAGAGTGGTTATTAAGGAGAAAATTTTTGAAACTGACAGTGAGGATTTCAGATCACCTCCCCCCAAACCAGATTTTGTACGATGACAGTTTACCCAGGCAGAGTACTTCAGACCCACCTGAGAACACTTCAAGTGTGTCTTACCTGCCTGGAGCTTTCTCAGAAGCCCCCTGGGGTGTACAAGTGGAATTCGAGAAGTACAGAGTTCCATCTTGTCCAAGAACACCTGGGTAATGTAGGGAAAAGTAGATCCTTACTGGAAAAGTGGGCAGGGAGCAAAGAAGCATCAGTCTTATGAATAGAAGTAAAATAATAACATCTAACTTTTATTAAATGCCTCCTGTGTGTCAGGCACTTGCTAAGCAATTTGTGTGCAGCTTTTCATTCATATTGATAGTGCTGCTTGTCAGTGAAGAAGACAAATTGCATTCTGGTCCACGCTGTATTGGGGCAAGTTTCCTTTTCACTGTGAGCATGCCACCCATCCCTTCCAGTGTGGTCACCTGGAGAGAAAGACCCATAGTAGAACACAAGGAAATGCCTTTTCTGACCTGAAGGGCAATGTGTGCAGACTGTTTCCTGAGGAGAACACCAGAGTGAAAGCCCTCCAGGGTAAGTTCCTCATGGACTCCACCTTCCCTCCCTTACTTCTTCCTGCCCCATCCCTGGGAGGAATCTCCAGCCTTTCCTACTCTGCCATAAGAAAACACTATGGTAGCCTAAACGCATATCCAATTTAGCTCTTATTTCATCCAAATAATCGCATCTACTTGAGAAAAGAAGCATTTTTCAGCTTGCTCTCTCACTACATTTATTTAACATTCATCGGGCCTAACAACCATATTTGCCCCTCTTCTTACTGCTTCTTGCTCTAGAAGCTGAGAAACTAGACACTTGCTTTCCTAGAATCTTTTTAAGTATTGGTCATGTGACCCCATTTTAATCAATGAGACATAAACTGATGCCATTTCGGGGAATGCTTTTACTTTCTTATAAAGGGGAGAGAAATGGTGTGATGTTCCCTTTCTCATTGACTAAAATGTGGGCATGATGCCTGGCAATGTGGCAGCTGCTTTGGGACCCTAAGTTGACAAGAATGAGAATATAAGACCATCATACACGGATGGTGGAAGGGAAAGGTGGAGAGCATTTTAGACCTCACTGAGCATTTAACCAGTGCCAGTGTAGCTCTAGGCTTCTTGTGATAAGAGAGAATCCATCCTGATATGCCTCACTGCTAGTGGGTTTCTGTTACTTGTAGCCAAATTGCTGCCTAAGAGATGCGATTATGTGTTGGACCCTGCACTGGACGCCATGACCCTGAGAATATGAGAGTCACAGTCTTACTTCAAGGGACTCATAGTCTATTTGCAGAAGACTGTACCTGAGAGCCCACTAAGGCTCATTCTCCATCTCTTCACCTTCCCCTGCTGCCCCCTCACTCACCCTGCAATGTCACCATGAGGAAGAAGTAGTCTCCTTTAAGTCTGAAAGCCAGCATGGCCCAGCCCCCTTCCTCCACACCCCCAGCATGGGCAAACTAGCAGACAGGATGGGCAGGAGACCCCAGAGAGCTGTGTATATTGCCACGTGAGGGGACTAGAATCTGAGGACAGAGGTGACATGGAGTTCATCCCTCCTGGGATAAGGGAAAGCTGTGGCTGGAAGGAAATGTGGAGGAAAGTAAGGAACTCTGACTCAGCCTCTATTTTAGAAAAGTAATTAGGAAGTTGAAATGCTGACAGGATTCAAAATGCCTCAGATCTGAGGCCCAAGGAAGAAAATAGGCAGGCATCACTGTGTCTCACTAAGGAAACGAATCCAGGATGACTCTTAGCTGATGCTCCCAAGTGGAGCAGATCACAGCTACCATCACAGCTTTAAACTGCCATCACCACCAAGGCCAGCCAGAGAGGTAAAGCCATAGGAACACAGGCATCTGGAAAGTGAGAATATTCTGTGTTATAGTGCTAGCTATAGAGTTTGAATTTCATGTCACAGAATTTTGGAGCAATCTTATAAACCAAACAACCTCCTAATAGCTGTACAGGGCTCCTTCTTGTCATTCCTGGAGAGAACGGAAGGAAGACAGTTGAGTCTTCATAGATCTTCCTCCCAGTGGGGACCTACCATGCCCTGCTGGTGGCCCCAGTCAGAGACCAAGGCATGGACCACTTAGGATGTCCCTCCTGACTTCTTCCCATCTTAGCAGATAAGGGTTTCAAGGTTGTCCCTCTGTCCCCAGTCTGTTACACCAAAGCAGGAACTTATCTCTCATTGACCTATTTCCATCAAAAGTCAAGTATGAAAAAGATGGCATCTGACTATTGGTTTAAGTACTTGATTTTACTTAGGGAACATTCTTCTGGTTGGATACTATTCTCCAGAATGAAGTTATCTTTTCATTTGTGAGCATGTTCATTATTTAAACAGGAGTATAGATTAGACGTCTCTTCAAAAATATATTTACAGG